CTTGGCGGCTTCTGGCAACTTAATTCGCCCACTCTTGAGTAGAGTGTCGAAAGTCACCACCACCTGGTCTTCTTTGAAATCATATTGCCGCTGGGGGCGTGGTTCAAATTACCTGGGTTTCGGCTTTTGAGCAGCTTTCGGTGCCGGGGCGGTGTCGACTGTCATGATTTCTTTTCCCCTCGACCGAGGAGGATTCTTTGGTGCAGCGGGCTCCGCTGCTCCCTTTTTGGACTGCGGCTCTTCGGCCTCCAGCCTCTTGATCATATTTTCAACTTGCTCGCCTTGGCGAACAAGCTCCTTCCAAGTCCGGGTCTCTACTGCCCCTATTTTGGACAGGATATGGATCGATAGATCTTGGCGAACAAGCTCCTTCCAAGTCCGGGTCTCTACTGCCCCTATTTTGGACAGGATATGGATCGACAGATTGTTGCGGCACATCTCAATCAGCGTCGCCTCGGAAACTTGGTCCCGATAGTGGACTGATCGATTCCGAAATCTCTTCACGAAGTCGTTGACCGACTCCGATTTCCACTGCTTCTCAGCGAGTAGAGTGGCCATTGACACTTCCGTGTCGTCGTCGAAGAAGCGGGCGAGGAAGAGCTTCTCGACGTCGGCCCATGCCTTGATAGAGCCCGGCTCTAGTTTACGGAACCATTCGAAGGCCACCCCCTTGAGGGTACCTATGAACAGTCGAGTAAGAATGGCGTCATTTCTCGTAAGAAATCAGGTCTGCGCCATGAAGTAGTAGATGTACTGCGAGGGTGATCCCTTGCCATCAAACTGTACCAAGCTGATTGGCTTGAACTTTGCTGGGTATGGGACCGTGTCCCATTCGACGGGATAGGGACGTACCACCCCCAGCTTGTTTATGTTTTGCTGGAGCTTCAGCGCGTTGAGCTGGTCCTGGAACTCGTCGAATCTTTTGTCACGGGTGCTATCCCCTGTGTGCGACGTTCCTATCGACGTTTTGGAGGAGTAATCGGAATGCCGGTCATCCTCCGTCTCAGCCGCTGGACGGTGAGGAGGTATCCACTCCTTGTCCCTAGTTTGCCGGGGTAAGGGACGCTGGGTCCTCTTCTTCTTCTTCTTGTTCAGCAGTTGCTCCATCATTTCTCTTAGAGAGTCGATGGTCGCCTGCTGTTCCTCCAGCTTTTGGGCCATTGTCTGCTCGGTATCGAGTCCGGTCATGTGCACTCTCGCCTGCGCGTCTTGACTTGAGCGCGAGGTCTGGGATGTGGCCGCCGCCGAATGAACCTCGTCTTCACCGCAGGAGGGGGGTACCAGGGTAGAGTAATCAAACCCGATGCTTGCCCCCCTGCGACTACGCGTTCGCTGGAATATGTCGTCCTGCCGGCATCGAGCGAACCGAGTGTTAGGTCTTAGGACGGAGTCCGAGTCTGGCGAGTCGGAGAGTACCGCCTTCCCCTTATCCGTCATGTTAACCGTGGCGGATGAGAGCTCTAGGTCGTCAGCAGCGCGTCCTTTTTGGTGACGACGCCTTTGACGGGAGGGCTTTGGCCGAGAAGACTGTTGCGACAGTCTCTCGAACACCGAAGGTCTCACCGTTCCGATACATTGGCAGTCGGCGAGGACCGTGTGGATGAGTCTCTCGCAGTGGCACTGAGGATTCGCCTCCTATATAGTGCGTTTGCGAGTTAAGTATTCCCTAAGGTCTTCTGTGGGCGGTTGGTGACAACCCCCAGCTGAGTTAAGTATTCCCTAAGGTCTTCTGTGGGCGGTTGGTGACAACCCCCAGCTTCAGAAGAGTCGCTCGTGTGAGCGCATGAGGGATTTTTTGACGCGCTTTCTGGTGCGCGTTGGGCGGAATGCTTTGGTGCTGGAGTTGGGCGATCTCGCCTTGACTGGCGAGTCTTCGCGTTTGAGCAAACTCCAGTACGTTGGCGGGTTTCAACCCTTCGTTTGGAAGAGTGGGTTCGCGAGGAATCGCCTACCCCTCTACTTTTACGTTTATCCGCCAAGTGATTATGGCGAGGCTCGCCAGCCTTCGAGGATTCGCCTACTCGGGTAGGCTCGTTCGCTCGGTGTGGTTTATTCGCATCAGGGATATGACCTGAGAAGCGAAGTCCTCCTGAGCGGATGGCTCTGTCGTCCTCNTGGGCGTGCGGCCTCTCCCGGCGAGGAGAGCGTCCAACCTGCGGGCTTGTGGGCGAGTAGAGTTTGTGGCTTGGAGTAGAACGCAATTTCCGTCCGAGGCAGGTGTCTGGCGCGTGGACCGCTTGGCGATCCAGTTTGGCCAGATACCCTTACGCTCTTGCTCGGGCTCAGAGTCTTCTGGGCTTTAGCCTTGGATCGAGTAGCGGGAGGGAGTGGGCTCTCTCCGATGAAAGGCTCGGGGACCCGTAGGTAGCAGGAGGCTTTGACCGTCTGAGGTCGGCCTCGGCGCACGACTCTGTGGCGTCTGCGGGACGCATCGCCGCCAGAGGAGGAGGAGGACAAGTATTCTTCGTACTTGGCCTGGTCGAACTCAATTTCTAGGGACTCCACGGTCGTCCCGACAGCAACCTCATCAAATTGAGCCACCACCATTTCGTTCGATGAAACAGCTTCTCCCACTGTGGTCGCCATCTTCTGTATGGTGTAAATTTGATTTCCCGAAAACAGGGAGTTCTGTTTGTATTGATAAGAAAGCTTATTACAAACTAATAATCAAATGGTTACAACAGAAGCAGAGGGAATGCCCTCTTTGTTTTGTGTGGGGACTTTAGGTGGCTATAGGACGCTTCGCTCGATGCTCGTGTCGAGTCTGCTTCCCTTGGACCGTTCGATCGAGGTTGCTGGAGAGCTTCAGTACGCAGTAGAAGCTCGGGGCAATAGAGTTCGGTTTTGCTTAGTTCGCCGGCGATCGGAGCTCGGAACTAGGCAGTGGTGCTGTAATGCAAGGATCTGCTAACAGCTTGGTCTCAACTCTTTTTCTCCAAGTTTTGCGACCTCTCTTCCAGTGCGCTGGAAGGGGCTTTTAAATGGAAGAGGGACAGCTTGACTCATCCTTGAATTATGGGATATGACCATATCTTCTTCAGAGACGTCTAGCTGCTCCTCGATACCATGAATGGTCATTCGAGGGATTGTGCTTTATGTCCTGTCACCTAAAATGGGAAGGCACATCCTTGTATATGAGACAACGGCCGTCTGCTATCCGAGTGGACTTGACCAGCATTAATGAACCGCATTTATGAGTTCGCAGATTGATGAGGTGTCTGTCCGATCACTCGTACTGTGCGTGACCGCCCGGCGTGCTTTGAGCACGGTGCTTTCTCCTTTCCGGTCAGGAGAGGCGGCGAAGTAGGTGCACAGTACTCGAGTGGGTCTAGCCAACTTGCCGAGTGCCGGCGGATCCAGCTCTTGACTCAGACAGCCGAGGTGAGTCGCATTTATGAATGCTCAGGTTGACTCGACACCTGTCTAGGCCTTCGTACTGTGAGTGGCCGCTTGACGGTCTAGGGGTACCGTGTCCTCTCCCTTTGGGTCGAGAGAGATGGGATGGCCCATCCCAGCACGTGGGGTAGCGGATACCCAGCTGTACTAGTGGCTTTGAGGTTTGCAGGCGGATTCGTCTTTGGACTCGGGCGGACGAGTCGAGTAAGAGGCGAACTTCCGCTATCCTAACTGATCTTAACTCGTGCAGGCGAGTCGATCATTTAGGCGAACCTAGCATCGAGTACATTTGACGGCCATGCGGTTTAGGCAGGCGACTTCTTGTGGGCGAATTTCCTGTAGGCTCATCAGAGGTATTTTTTTACCGTCTACAAGGTCATGCAACCTGCGGGCTTCCTTTCCAGTGCGAATGATCCGGTCATGTTCATCTCTTCCTCTGATGGACATCGCACAATCTTACTCCTATATGTCAACAATATGACCATCGCTGGCGACAATCCATCAATCATCACCCAAATCAAATCTCAACTCCAACAAGAGTTTGAGATGAAAGATCTAGGTCGTTTACATTTCTTCCTCCATCATGATATCAACCAGACTCTAGGTGGCTACCATTTCTCTCAGCCCCAGATTTCTCCAAACACCTATCCCAACCAACCCACCTAAATTGAAATGGCCCAACTCCAAAACTAATATGGCAAATGTCCAATTTTCCACATGAGCCCATTTCTCACCATCTTTTAGCAAAACAAACAAGCCTTACACTACTTTTACACTATAAGAGACAAATTGTGGGGTCTAATGCTTTAAAAAAAAATTCTATATTGATGACTCATCAAGAGAGCCCATATCTTCTCTCCCATAGTATAGAAGTAGTGTAGAATAGTATAGTAGTCATCTTTTTTATTCTATGATGTCCATAGGGATATTCATGTATTATTAAAACCTCATATAGTAGGAGTATGGTCAATGCAGATTACATGATGATATCCATATTATCCGTGAAATTTGGATCCTCTCCGTTACAAACAAAAGTAGTGGAGAGACCACTACTTTAATAATAATTATTGATTCATTTGTCAATGGTGATGAATCATTTTAAATATAACACTTACCATACCGCGACATAAATTGCACCTTTCCTGATATATATTCAAATACAATTCAGAATCATCCATTAATCAAATCATCGGATATATGTAATATAGTAGTGTCCCACTACTATTTTTAGTGGAGAGAATTTAGATTATTAGCATGTTTGCACGTGCATACAGGGCATATCGTGTCTTTGATAACATGCCTCCGCTTGTTTGGCATTCTTGTTGATTGAGCCAATCCCAGTAGGTTAGGGTTCTTTTTGAAAATGAGCACTGCTACATGGACCCAAAATATAAGATCATTGGAGGGGACACGGCAATAGGGAGGGGGACACCTCACATCTCCTCTCTCTTGGTCTCATATTTTGGGTCCTTAAGGCATTTTTATTTTGAAATTACAACTTTAATTAGTATTGGCTTCAGTTTTTTTCCTCAAAAGTTTGTGTTGGTTGCACAACTTTGAAGTTCCGAATTTTTATGTCTTTTGGTGTGCAGGATGATGTTGACTGACTCTGACTATTCTGATGAATATGAAATTCAAAGGATACGAACGCATAGATGAGCATGCATAAAATAAGGGACCAGTGAATAGAACATCTTCTTTCAGTGACAGCATCCTTCGACCCTTTTTATTCCAAGCAAAGCGAACCAAACGAACCAGCAATCATTCCTTCACAAAAATCTTGCATTCAGTTGGTTTTAAGTAAATGCTAAAGACTTGAGCTTTTGGATAAACTGGCCAGTGAACCTCTCCTCCACCCCCTTATCCACGAAGAACTCCCTCCATTTCCTGTGATTCTCCTCCATGGACATCTTCTCCTCTCCCTCATCTTTCTTCTCCCCTTTCTTCATCACCTTCGTCACCGCCTCGCAGACTGCGTCCCTCGTGAGATCGCCGGTCGTCTCCTGCCTCTCGACCTCCAGCCCAATTCCCAAATCCCCTGCGAACAGAGCAGAGTTCAGGTACTGATCCCCTCTCTGAGGCACCATCACAAGCTGGCATCCAGCCACCAGCCCCTCCACTACTGAACTGAACCCGCCGTGGTTGACGTAGCATCCTACGTTGCTGTGACCCAGTATGAGCTGCTGCTGTACCCATCCCTGATGTATCACTCCCCTATCCCTCACTCTGTCTTCGAGTCCTTCGGGGAGCTTCTTCCTCATCGCCTCCTCGCCCTCAGGGTCATTCAGCACCACAAAGAAGGGAAGCTTAGCCATTTCCAGCCCCAGCAGCAGCTCTCTTATTGCTTCCTCCGTCAAGAACGTCTCGCTGCCGAAGGAACAGTACACCACCGACCCCTCTTCGAACTTCGCCAGCCACTGAGCCCACCTCTTCTCGAGCTGGCCCGAGGGTGGTTCGGGGACTACCGGGCCGGCGAGCAGCATAGGTTTGTTGTGCTCGGCCTCGACGTAGTCGATGTACGGCCTCTCGATCTCCTCGCAGGTTTTGGCTATGATTGCGCTGCATTCGGCCACGCAGGACATAACGCGGTCGAAGACACAGGGCTGGCCGGCCAAAGGACTGGAAGATGTACGAGAATCTTGAGCCTGGTAGGGCTGGGAGACGCCGCCAGCGGCCGCGATGGAGGACGCGGCGGGAATCCTTGAGGGGGTTTCATGAGGCTCCTGGTGAGTCAACGACGGGCGGTCATCGCCGGCGGCAATGGCGCGGATGGGACCGTGAGGTAGGCGGTGGAAGACGGCAGAAGAAGACGGAGAGAGCAGGGAGCGGACGCCGAGTGGGTGGGCGACCGTGGGGATCCACGGCATGGCGAAGTCGAAGACGATGAAGTTTGGGGCGAGGCGGGAGAGGAGGGAAGCCACGTCGGGCTTCATGCTGTCAACGGCGGCCTTGAGGAGCTCGATTGGGCCACGTGAGGTCGGCGGTGCTCTCGACCCGCCGGCCGGAGGCCGCGGGACGGAGGGAGGGAAGGGAGGTGATGGATGATGGAGGAGGGGGGGGCGAGGGGGGGAGAGGGGAGGAGGAGGAGGAGAAGAGGGAGGAGACGCGGGGACGTTGGGCGGGGTGGTGAGGAAGGTGATGCGAGAGGTCGGGGGGTCGGCGGCGGCGAGCTTGCGGGGAGCTGGATGAAGGGCTATATGTGGCCGTTAGGCCAAGAAAGGGAACATCAGGATGTGGAGGCCATTGCCACGGGCACCCTCCTCCTGCTGCATCGATCTTTTTGCTCAATTGTGAGTGAGGCCGAGGTTGGTAGCTGGCTGTGGAGTTTGAATGTTTGATGCTGGAGCAATAAATAAATAGAGGGGAGACTGGAGGGGGCAGATGATGATGCGTTAAAGAGAGCTGGTGGGTGATCGAAAGATGGTAGCTGGGACTCACGGACGATAGGGACCAAGGTGGACTCTTTTGCGGCCACAAGTATATATCCGAAAGGAATCAAATCCTTCTACCATCTAAAATGTAGTGGAGGGACCACTACATAATCACAGTCATTGATTATCGTGGTTGTGATTTTTTCTTTTAGTACAAATTAGGAACGAGTGCAATACATAGGGTATGATAAGTGTTAGATTTAGATTGCATCATAACCGTCTATTAAGTAATCAACGTCTGAGATTAAAAGTAGTGGTCTCTCCACTACTTTTTTGTAGTGGAGTGGATCCAAATTCTATCCCAAATGGGGGCTTAGCTCCCGGAACACAACTGCGCCGTTTGACAGGGGTAAACGTGCGAACGGCAAAGATCGCAATGGGGCGGGATTTCGCTTTGCGGATGGGGCCCGCCGGGGTGTATGTGTCGGATTTCTTTGGTTGGAATATTAAGGCCCTGTTTGGTTCCGGTTTTTGGATGGGTAAAAGGGGGGAAAGCTGTCAAAAATGTCAGCTTTTTGGCAGCTTCCCCCCCCCCCTTTTACCCATCCAAAAAACCAATCCAAACAGCCCCTAATTGTCTGTGTAATTTGGGAGTGAAGTGCTGTAGTTTAATTAAGGATTTATCCTCACTTTAACAGCGCGAATTGTGAGGCGAAATTTTGCGGGTGAATTGGAATCGGGAAGCTACTGGAGGAGGAATGTCAATGCGTTGCTGTGCGTATTCCTATGGGTCGGCCACTTGTTCTTTGTTTTCTTGGGCTAGACTCTTTTAATGGGCTTTATTTCGTTTATTTAATTTTTAAATTTTAATACGTATTTGGTTTATCTTTTGTAGACTAGGCTTTAAAGGCCTGTTTGGTCGGTTTCTAGGAAAGAAAAAGGAACCTGGAGAAGGATATGTTATGAACTCATTTATGGGTGTTCGTAAAACTTTATATATTTAGTTCTCTTCATTTGACTTTTAGAGCTAGTTCTAAACTCTTGTAGCTTATAAGTGCCTAAGACTACATATATAGAGTTCTAAAATTTCTATCTATATTAACTCTCTAATTTCTCTTATTTTAAATATTAATTAGCTAGTAGAGAAGTATTTCACGAGACGCTATCAGCATAATAGCACTTCCTGAGCTTTATCATCTAGTTGGATTTTTTTACTGTTCTTTATATGTACATATACACACGCACTTACCAAATGAACTTTATCATTTTGACATAATCTTATTATACATCAATTATTTTTTATAAAAGGCAGAACCCAAAACAAACAGTAAACCGAATATTATATTGCCTTGTATTGACTTTTTTTTCTAATAATTCTAATAAATCTGGAAATTACAAAATCAAAGTTCCTTAGCTGTTCAAACCGCTACAGTGCCCCGTTTAAGCGGTTAAATTCAAACATAAAATAGTAAAATAACCTCCCCCAGCTATCTTCTCTCATCTATTTGAACTTCCCTCCAAACTGATTTTCCCCCTCAGATGGAGAAACATCTATATTTAACATTCATAATTAACTCAAACAAAAAATTGTTCTCCCTAGCTCAGGTAATTCCACAACTTATTACATTCATGTTTATTTCCTTTAAATAATCCCAGTAATCCCAGTAATTTGGCATGTTGATCTTTGCTCCTTTCAATGTTGCATGTTGCATGTTACATGCTTTCAAAGGCTATATATTTATCAATATCAATGTTCTCAACTGAAATTCTGAAACATGATCATTTCACCAACCTGCACACAAGAAATCACTGTAGCAACCTCTCAAACATGTTCAGCGTGCCAACCGACACAACCAAAAAAGAAATGAAAAAAACCAAATCAGGCAAGAGTTTTCGCAGAAGAAATCATCAATAAGCTTTAGGAAAATCACGAATACTTACCTGCAATTGACGACACCTACCGCTTCCTTCTCCGCAGCCAATACTTGTCAGTGGCAAGTAGTTTGCCATATAGGAGACGACGCGATTAACAAATTACATATCCAAGTAGTTTATCATGTAGGATATGACGCTGTTAAGAAATTACATATCCAAGTAGTTTGTCATATTGCCATTTGCATAGCCAACCAAGTTAATCATGTCACTATCATGTAAATCATAAGTAATAGATAATTACATAGCCAACAAAGTTAATCATGTCACTGTCCTGCAAACCAAAAGTATTTGATATTCCTGCACTATCTCATATCTTAAAAATAGAATATATGTTGGATAACTGATGAAATAAATGTTTAACTGCAGATTATAGGACGCACAGATGACGCTTGCTAACTACACAAGCTTCGGTAATTTAACTACCAAAGACAACGATGCAATTATTAAGGCAAGGGTGACTAGAATTTGGGACAATGTCAATATCAAGAATGGGGATATATTCGGCTTGCATCTAACACTATTAGATGAAAATGTAAGCAACGATATATTTAATTTAACATGTTGATTACTATTTGTACGTCATTTTGATCGAACAATAATACATATTTCAATTGCATAGGACAATCACAGTCAACGGACAATCAAACATACTGAGATATCAAGGTTCAGTTCATTGCTTGAGGAGGGAAAAATACATGTGATATCAAAGTTCAGAGTACTTATCACATTTGGCAATTACTAAATAACGGAGAGCAAAATACTCATCTGTTTCTGCAGGCAAACAGTGGTTAGAGTTCTCCAAGTAGACGATGACAGTGTTGCAAAATATAAATTTGACTTTGTTCCTTTCAATGAACTATACTTACATAAAAATAAGAATATTTATCTAAGAGGTGGTAATTAGTGGCCTTATTTGTTTTACAATTGCTAATACATGAACATGAACATGAATACTAAGTTATTATGAATATACTATAACAGACATTGCAGGCATTGTGAAGGAAGTCTATCCGACAGGAGAGTCAACAAATTCTAGGAAAATGTCCACACGTAGATCTATTAAACTAATAGATGAAGAGTAAGATTGTATTGCTATAACTTAATGACAAGTTCAAAGACATTTTAATAGATTATTATGAATCATTTTTTTATAGGCATGATGAGTGTATGGTCACATTATAGAATAAACTAGCTATTGACTTTGACTCCAACTTTAAAGATTATGATACAAACAATGTTGTTATCGTGGTGATTGGAGTTTTAGTAAAAAAAAACTTCAGAGGTATAATTTAAATCGACGTGCATTACATTTTTAATATTTAGAAATATAAATATTCATTAACCTTTATATACATGTATTGATACATAGGTAACAATATGGTTTTATCAACGACAACAACAAAAATGTACTTCAATATTGATGAAGCCAGAGTTCAAAAATTACTACAAGGGTAAGAAGGTTACACAATACATTATTAAAGCTTTGTGAAACATAACTTCAAATTAATGAATCTGGAACTATCTATACTACTGATAATAACTTTTTCATTATACATGTAGGAATACTAACAATGAGAACAACTTACAGTTAGTGACTTCGTCTATGAATTTATCCGATACTCGACCAGAATCAATAAAGGCTATAGAAGCAACACTTTATGAAGTTGTATATTTCGATACTCCAGGAACTTCACAAGTAATATAAATCTATGAATTTATTCAAATTATAAATATATCATTGTTGAGTACATAAAAATAGATTGGTCATAAAAGCTACATGCTGAATCCAACTCTTAACAATTAGATCTAAACAAGCTCAAAATCATCACAAAAATCTATGAATACTTACTAGGGCTCAGGATATAAATAAATTGTTCACAAAGATTGTCTCTCCTATAAAAGTATGATGATGATGCAATGTAAGCTGCTATTATGAGGGATTACCTCATCTAAACATTGTATTATCAATGTAGCTTGCATTCCACAAAAAAATTAACTTGTCTAAGTATTGATATTACATTGTAATAGCAATGTAGGATGCTATTATTAGGGATTACCTCACCTAAATATTGTAATCTTAATGTAGGTTGCATTCCACACAAAATTACCTCGCCTAAGTATTACATAATTAATAACACACAATTAATATAGGATGCATTCTCGGATTCTTATCATCATCATTGCCCACCTAAAAAAATATAAAGCAAAAGAACTTATACCAAATTTGATTAGCAAAAAAAGCCTTCTGTCATTAAGCTCAAACCGAGCATTATATTATATACCACTGAAAACAAACAACCAATACCTCAATGTAAGCACAAATTAGCAACAATAACAATTAGCAACAAGAATCAATAAAGGGTTCTCAACCAATGACTATATGAAGTTATATATTTTGATGCTGCAGGAAATTCAAAAAGGTAATACAAATGTATTGATTTATTCAAATTATAACTTCATAATTGCTAACTGCATGCTAACACCAGCTCTTTCAATTATAGTAATACTTTTTCATATGCGATGTGCAAATCATTAGAGTTGTGAAGGAGTTAGATTGGCGTTATGTTGGATGTCTAGATTGTGTAAAAAAACACCATCAACTTTGAGGAAAGTTTCGTGTAGGTCATGTAATAAGGAAGTAATGGTACAAATAAAGTACACATTCAGTGCTACATTTCATATTCATAATTAAAAAGCACAGGATAATTTATTTAATTTTTTCCATGGTAATAACTATGTAAATTTAAATCAGGTACAAAGTTACAATAGAATTGAAAGATTATTCCGCAATTACGATATTTGTACTCTTCAACAAAGAAGCTGAAAAATTGATCAAAATTGCTGCTTATGATCTCGAAAAAAACAGTAAAAAAAGGTACTTAATTTATGCATATAAGTTAACATTGATATTCTAAGTATCAGCGAACGTATGTAATAGGATTCTTTACATGCTTTAGGTAAATAGGAAAGAGTTATTCCTGATATTATCCTAAGTATAATTGGAAAGACAGCAAAGGTTCAGGTGAGGTCAACAAGATATAATTATGCAGAAGGTAACGAGGTATTTACAATTTCAAAAATTATTGATGGACTTCATGAAAACAAGCAACATGAAGACAACAACACAAGCCAGGATATTGTAAGATTTATAATCTATTTTTTTTAATATTAATAGACATTAATAACATATTTTATTAATTATTTCATTGTATGGTTATAGACTTCGCAAGAGTCAACAATTATAAATCTTACTGATGAGATTCTTCTAGCAACACCATTCCAGAGTCAAACACAACACCCAGATTTCACTCCAATATCAAAATCACTACTTACTCCAAAGGTTGAGAAAAAAAATTTAAAAGTAGACTGTTAAAATTTAGCAACTTTAATGACATGCTAACTGACAATGTTCAGGAAACAATCAAAGCACCAAAAGAAGAAGGTAAATTCTAAATTTATTTTATATTTTTGTAAATAAAAGTAGTTAAAACTCATAATTAGCTATGTACAATAAATGTTTACTGCAGAATGTAAAAAGATGAAGATTGGAAGGCAGAGTTCAAAGCAAAAAATTGCTGAAGCTGAAGAATAATTAGTTTGTTAGATAGTATTTTGCAGCGTGTACATGAAGACACTTTTTTGAGAGCTTAAGCACTAAATCAGGATTGTCCAACAAAGGCAAATGACAAGAGAAAGACGTTTGGAAACTAATATGGCGACTTCAACTTAGATTTTAATATCCACAGACATCAGTAACTTCGTTATGCATGTCTGAATATATTAAGTCTTTGTAATTTGAATAGCTATGAACCAATGTTAAGCAAGTATGTCATGTTTAATTCTTATTAGACATATAATGTTATGTTCTGATTATGGTGGTAGTTATATTTTTCCCCAATAACGTAAAACTATATACTCTCATGTGCTCATGTTCCTAATGAATGAATACAATAATAGATAAATCAACTGAGAAATTAATTAAATAAGTAAGTCTCAAACATACAAAACAGGTTCTTTATGAGAAATGAAGAATATATGCATTTAGTCTTGCCAATTAAGTCAATTATGGAAATCAGAACTCTAAAGTACCGCAACAATTTAGGACAAATGTTAGAGAATCAATTACTTACAAAGAGAGGAACGCGCGGTCAAAAAAACGACAAATATCTATTAGGAAGGAGCTGATTTTTGATGGATCAAGTTATTAATAATGGAATACTCAATCCAATAAAAATAATACACTAATGATTTCTAGTTTACTTTGCCTTCAAATTCATCAGCATATAACAATACAATCTCATATACGTATGAGAAGTGATGCTCATGAATAAATTCAATAATAGAGAAATGAACAACTTATGAAGATATTAACATGCAACAAGAATGGTAAATAGATGATCGACAAAGAAAAAAATGAAATTGTACATGCAATTATTACAGGCATAAGTAAAGGCAAACAAATCACCTACTTAAAAATAAATTAACAAGCAGAATAACATACAAAATAAATTTGGTAAACAATTATTACCAGTCTTAGTATTTCGGGAAATCTCTCTATCTGTCTTAATCAACTATCATACCTTCATAGTTATAATACTAATCACATCAATTATCTTTGACAATCAATTTGAAATTCAAAAAGCATCACTCAAAACACAACAAGAAATTTTCTTAGCACACCAGGTAATTCCAGATTGTGTCCTTAATTATAGCCTTTAATATTATCTTCACTTCACTTTAATTAATTTCAGTTTGTTTAGTCAATTGTGTGAAACTACTACTGACGAAACTTTATAATATTACAAATATTGATCATTACTTTTAGGTACAATCACGTATGAAGATGATTCATCAAAATAAAACATTTTCATCGTACAACTTCCAAGATGGTGTAATTGAGACTCATACCTTCTCCAACAACACTCGACAAACTACAGGTAAACAACCATTTAATGAAAGATTTAGTAAATTCAAATATCACTATACTAAACAATTAATTTTTATAGTAACAAATATGGTTACCAAAAAGTTGACATCAAGACAAAGAAGAAGGTAGGAAAATCATAAATTAATCACTGTAGTTGGTCATGTGGACCAACTACATTCTATAGTTCCAGTCTACATCTACATTTAGAAATAAGAGAAGAACTAATGATCTCAACAATGGAAATAATTGTACTGTTCAGACAAGGATCACGAAGAAGTCCAAGGGTATGGTTTATAAACTCATATAACTAAAATTAATGCATTGTTGTTAACATACAATGCACTTAAACATAATTTTACAGCAGGGGATGATGAAGATATTCTTGACTTTGGTCCTCCCACTTGGACTTGGGAGCATTGTCATGCAACGCTATGGTATGAAGAGAGAGTTGAAAAATCCAAATGCTCTAAAAATCCAACTTTTTCTTTATGTTGTCGGAAAGGAATAGTGAAGTTTCCTTTGCTTGAACAACCACCACATTTACTTAAAGAGCTATTATCGCCATCAGCGGGTCGCACGAGTGCACATTATAAAGAATATATCAGATCATATAATGCTATGTCTGCTTTTACCTCGAGTGGAGGAAAAATTGATAATACAGTCAACAATGGCCGAGGCCCATACTGTTTTCGTTTGAATGGATAGAATCATCACATGATCGGATCACTCAAATCCATTCCTGGAAATAGTCCAAAATTCCTACAGTTGTACATTTATGATACAGACAATAAGATTGCAAATCGAATGGAAGCTATTAACGGCTCAAAACAATTGAAAACTCAAATTGTGCATGGACTTCTAGCAATGTTAGATACTTATAATGAATTAGTTAAAAGTACACGAATGGTACATGACCGAATTGATGAAGCTGATTTAGTACCAGTGAAAATGGTAATGAAAGCTTCAAGGAGTGGAGATGGTCGGGTGCAAAATATGCCAAAGTCTTCAGAAATAGCTGGTTTATAGTTAGTGACATTGATGAAACGATTGGCCATCGATATATTATCATTGATAACAGAAGTCTGTGATTGATAAGAATTAGTGATTTACATCCAAATTTTATGGCATTACAATACCCTTTATTATTTCCATATGGAGAAGATGGTTATAGATTGAGTGAAAATTTCATACAAATAGGAGAGACTGATTATAAAAAGAGAAAAGGCGTCACAATGATGGAATATGGAGCTTTTAAAATTCAACAATGCTTGCATGAAGGACATACGTTGATAAGATCTGGAAAATTATTTCAAACTTACATTGTAGACATTGCAACATGCATAGAAGAGGATAGACTTCACTGGATAAAAAGGAATCAGAGCAAGATAAGAGCAGAGCTATATTGTGGATTGAAGGATGCAATGTTCAGAGCAGATATAGAAGGTCCACAAGTTGGGCAGAGAATTATTTTATCTTCATCTTTCACTAGAGGTCCATGATACATGACCCAAAACTATCAAGATGTCATTGTTCATTGTCGTATTTTGGGGAATCCTGATTTGTTTATCACTTTTACATCAAATCCAAAGTGGAAGGAGATAAAAGCATGCTTAGATGAAATTGGTGGTCAGAGAGTAGAAGAAAGACCTGATATTGTGGCGAGAGTATTCAAGATGAAGTTGGACCATCTCATGGAGGATTTGCAAAAAAGGAGCATTTCGGTAAAAGTTAAGCAGGTTAGTATTCAAGTAAAGGACTATTAAATAAACTCTTTTATGATTATACATAATGTAAGTAAACCTATTGTTTATTCTATTATTAATACAAGCTTTATTATGTGCTCATATCTCATTTTAATTTGTAAAGCCCTAAAATATTTACAGTTCCTAGATATTTGAGAATATTTATAGAGAATTTTTTTTTAAATAGTAGTATTTAATATTATTATAATATTGTTATCTTTTGTGTAGTGATGTATTCTACAAATGACATCAATACATTTACAAATGTTTAGCTATTCAAACCAGTTAACTAATAAATTTATGGCCACTTGCACACTATTTCTAAGACTATAGTCAAAACAAGCTAATTTATTTATAATTATGATGAAATGAATGATATGAATTTATAACATTTATGCAGTCTAATAACAAATCTTTTCTTCAACATATTTCATGTAGTGGTGTATACAATAGAATTCCAAAAAAGAGGACTTCCACATGCTCACATATTACTATGGCTAGATGTCAAAAATAAGTATCCAACACCTTCTTCGATTGATAAGATTATCAGTGCAGAAATACCTGATAAATAAATTGATCCATTGGGATATGAAGCAGTAAGTTGGTTTATGATACATGGTCCTTGTGGTAAAGCAGCGACATCGGCTCCATGCATGCAAGATAAAAATTGTACCAAGCATTTTCCAAAAAGGTACATCAGTGAAACAATTATAGAAGAAAATGGTTTTGCAATATATCAGAGAAGAGCAAATGATGATATATGGGTGCTGAAGAAAGGGAAAAAAAATTAGACAATGGTTATTTTGTGCCTTATAATCGCAAGTTGTTAGTGAAGTAGCAAGCACACATTAATGTTGAATGGTGTAACCAAGGCCGATCAATCAAATATTTGTTTAAATATATAACTAAAGGACCAAATCATGCTTCCATATCACTCCAATCATCAAAGAGAGATGCAAATACATCAAAAATTTATCTGCCTATAGATGAGATACAATACTATTTGTATTGTAGATATTTATCTGCACCAAAAACCATATGGAGAATTTATGGATTTGACATTCTCCATAGATTTCCTACAGTGAAAAGACTTCCATTTCATCTGCCTGAACAACAACCCATCATTTACAAAGACACTGATGACTTGAGACAAATTATAAATCGTATTGAAGATAATCAAACAAAGTTCATGGGATGGATGGAAGCAAGTAAATTATACACAGAAGCAAGGAAACTAACATATGCTGAATAACCATCAAAATTTGTATGGAAAACATGAAAGAAAATGGAAGATTAGAGAAAAGGTACAAAGTATAGGCATAGTAGTTTATGCACAGCCTACAACAGGTGAGATGTTTTATCTACGCTTACTTTTAAACATTGTTCGAGGCCCTACATGTTTTGAAGATATCTTTAGGCATGATGGCATTATTTATGATACATTTAGAGAAACATGTACCGCTCTGCGATTGCTAGAAGATGACATGGAATGACAATATATGTTGACTGAAGCATCATATACCGCATCAGGCCGGTAGATGAGACAAATATTTGCAAACCTTCTGCTATATTGTCAAGTTGTTAACCCTCAAAAATTATGGGAAGATAACTGGAGGTATCTTACAGAGGGGATTTTAGAAATGCAAAGGAGATTGTTACATATGTCAAATTTGATAATGTAAGGCCAACAATTGCAAAATCAAACTCTAGTAGAAATTGAGTACTTACTGCGACAAAATGGTAAAAGCCTTAGTAAATTTAATGGAATGCCATAGTCAGACAATAATTTAATGAAACATTGTATAGACAAAGTAATTGGTGAAGAATTAAACTTTGACAGAGATCAACTAAGAGAAGAACATGACAAGCTCTTTAAAGGTATGAATATCCAACAGATGAGAGTCTATGATAAGGTAATTGAATCTGTAAATAACAAAGTAGATGGACTATATTTTTTGTATGGACATGGAGGAACTGGGAAACTTATGTTTGGAAATCCATAATAACAAGACTAAGATCTGAAGGCAAAATTATTTTGGCTGTTGCATCATCTGACATAGCATCTGTGTTATTACCTAAAGGAAGAATGACCCATTTAAGTTTCAAATTCCAATTTTATTGAAAGAATATCAACATACAGAATCAAACCAGGAACTCCTGAAGCTAATTGAAGTTTAATTATATGGGATGAGGCTCTAATTGTTCACATGCATGCTTTTGAAGCGGTAGATCATACATTACGAGACATTTGGGAAGCCAAGATGAGTTGGCTCAAAGCAAACCATTTAGAGGGCTAACCATGGTTCTAGGTGGAGATTTTAGGCAAATATTACCAGCATTGCCAAGAGGTAACAAGCATGACATATTGAATGCATCAATTAGTAGTTCTAAATTATGGAATGAATGCAAATTATTTGCTTTGACACAAAACATGAGGCTACAACAAATACAATCTGAAGATAACAACATGACAATAGATGATTTCGGCAGATGAGTGATTAATCTTGGGAATGGTGACTTGCAATCAATAGAAGATGCATCTACTACTGATGAGCCATTAATTGAGATAACAAAAGAATTCATTATTCATTCAACTGGAAAGCCAATGGATGATATTACATCCCAGACTTATCCAAATCTCCTAAAAAACTTTTCTAATGCAGACTATTTACAAGAGAGAGAGCAATCTTGACTCCACGGAATAAAAATGTAGATATTATAAATGACATCATTCAAGAAAAAATACAAGGTGTAGAAGTAACTTATTTAAGCTCAAATTTCATTTGCGCGACTTCTCCAAATCTGTAGGAAAATGAAGCAAGCTACCCTATAGAATTCCTCAATTTATTAACATTTTCTGGAATGCCAAATCATGAAATAAAACTAAAATTTGGGACTCCAATCATGTTGTTGTGTAACCTATGTCCAACAGAAGGTCTTTGCAATGGCACGAGGATGATAGTAACACAATTGCTGAAATAAATTATAGAAGCAATAATAATCAGTGGGTCTAATATCAGAACAAAGCACTTCATTCCAAGATGTGTCTTGACAAACACAGATTCAAAATGGCCATTACACATGAAGAGAAGGCAATTTCCAAATAGACCATCATTTGTAATGACAATAAATAAAAGCCAATGACAGACATTAAATTTTGTGGGATTATACATTCCAAAGCCATGTTTTACGCATGGCCAGTTGTATGTTGCTGTCTCCAGAGTTACTTCACCGAAAGGGCTTAAGACTTTGATAGAGAATGAGCAAGAACAAAGCAAAAACTTTACAAACAATATTGTTTACAAAAATTTTTTAACAACTTATAAACAGGTATAACTTTTAAACATTGGATAAATTTCATTTTATAATACTGAATAATAGATTTTGAAACATTATATGCAACTCTTCATTTCTTCAGTATAACATTAAATGCTATAAATGTTCATGACATTAATAAAGAGATCAAGAAATTTATTTGTTATATCACTACATTATCTCTCATATTTACAATGATATAATGATGTTGCCTAACTGATGAAATTATATTTACAATGCAGATTAAAAGACACATAAAAGTTTTTTGCTACATAGACGGCCACCAGTTAAAAAAGTGACAGACAATGATGCAATCATTAAAGTGGAGGTGAGTATAATTTTAAAATAAAGGAAGAGCCAAGGCAATGAAAGTTAGACATCAAAAAAGTTGGTGAAAGTGTCATTATTGCAACGTTATCTGCTACACAAATTGTAAAATGAATGCTCTCTTAATTCATGGGCACAGCGTTCATAACAGTGTGTCAGTGCACAACATTGGTAAAGATGGGGTTGTTAAGCACTGTGAAGTACAAGTTTATTTACTTTAGTTAAATCAAAATCAATGATCTTAACAAATCATGTATCACTTTGCCAGTTTCATGTCATGATTTCATATTTTCATGAAGTAATTTAGCTCAACTTTTGGTCTTTTATTAATATTTATTGCCTCAGATGAAACTTAAAAAGTCACATATATTGTATTCTAATAACGTAGTAAACCACACCACACCTTGCTATGAACATTGTAAATTACTTGCAATATCGTTTTATTGACCTTAAAATTTATAAAAAAAACTCAAATTTAGTTCAAACAACCTCGAAAACTACAAAATATGAATTACAAAAACAACAATAACAACCCAAACAAGCAATCAAACTAAAACAAATGTGTCACAAAACTAAAATAAACATACTTGAAATCAGCATAAAAGCATGAAAACAGAAACTATTCCCACACAACATACAACTAAACAAGATCAAGATCAGCTACAAAATACATGATTAATTACTGCAGCTCAGAATATAAATAGATGAGTCATAATAGATTGCCTCTCCTATAAAAGTATGATGATACGATGTAGGCTGCTATTATGAGTGTTTACCTCACCTAAACATTGTAATATCAATGTAGGTTGCATTCCACACAAAATAGCATCGCCTAAACATTACATAATTAATATAGAATGTATTCTTAGTTTGTTATCGACATCATTGCTCATATAAAAAAACTTAAATAGAAAGAACTTAAACCACTATCGAATACCAAAGAAAGTCATCCGTCATTAAGATAAAACCGAGCAGTACATACAACAAGAGGCCAACAAACACGAGCTCAATGTAAATACAAATAACCAACTATAACATTTAACAACAAGGAGATAACCAAGCACAATGATTAGCTATATGAATTGCAACATGTGAATTTAGCAATCAAAAAAAATATAACTACATGTACACATTTACGAATTAGCATTATAAATTGCAACATCTAAATTTTCCTATTATCAAAACATATAACTTTGTGTGGGGATTTATTATTTAACGCAAAAGTATATGCAAGTCACGTGAAGGAACAAAATAGAGTGTTGTGGGCATAACATAAGCAAAACAAAAATTACGTTAATTAAACCTTCAAAGGTTGGATGCATCTCATTCTTCGACCGCTGCATTAATCCATCAAAGAGATATGCAAATCACGTGAATTGAGCAATTTACAAGAATTAATAACAATTAATAAATAATAAACCCCAACAACAACATTCCACAATCAAACAAAACTGCTAGATTTCGTTCCATGTTAAAACCATGCCTTAATCTAGAAGTTAAGGAAATGATATTAATATTAGCCTTTTGAACTTTAAGCACATCAATGACATGACAAACGACAATGTTCAAGAAACAATCAAATAACTTTGTTATGCATGTCTAAGTACTATATTATCTTTCTGTAATTTTAACAACTATAAGGAAATGTCAAGTACTTTTTCCATGTTTTCTTCTGTAATCATAAACTTTTATGATTAACCTATTAATTTTCCTTCTCCTTTGCATTAAAATTACACAACATATAAATATATATTCTCAAATACTCATTGACATGCATAATAAATCAACTACTTACAAATAGATTAACATGCATAACAAATGGCAAGTACATTAAAGACAAACCTAAAATGAATAATAACATGACATAATAAGATGCGAATAAAATTGAAAATAAATCATCTACTTACAAAGAGATTTACATGCAAATTATTAGGAAATTTCAAACACTTATGGAAATAAGAGGGCTCAAGTAAATTAATATTTTACCATGAATGACGGATTCGGTTGCTTAGAAAAAAATTTACATGCAGCTTAAAAACGGCAGAGATCTTCATAAAAAAGCATAAAATTTTATGAATCAAACAAGTACTACCACAATACACCATAATCTAAAAAGATTCCCTAAAGCAATGATCTTTCAATTGCATAATAAGAAGGAAAGAACTAAACTGAGGTTTTTTTCCTCAGAGGAAGAGATGGCCTAAACTAGGATTTTCTCCGACCAAAAAATTGACAGGTCTAGAAAAGAGAACGACAAAGAAAAAAGAGATGAACTTAATGAGGGTTTCTTCTGGAGGAAGGGATGAACTACTTTTGGTTTTCTCATAGGCAAGGATTCAACCGATCTAGAAAGTAGAACAGAAAAGAGGAAATGGATGGACTTAATGAGCATTTTCTCCGAGGCAAGGAATCGATGGGTCTAGAGAGGAGAAGAGCGAAGAAAGTATGTATGGACTTAATGCGCGATTCTTCCAAGGCAAGGAATCGATGGGAATGGAAAAGATAACGACAACTTTAGAGGCTTTTATAAATAAGCCATTGATGTTTGAATAAATGACATCTAATTCCCTAGGTTATTGACAATTAAGTCATGGATCTATAACATAATTAAGAATTGAATCAACCTCTGCATTATTTATCAGTAATATACAAATTGTTATTTACAATATGTCATATTATAATATTTAATAATTAAGGGATTAATTATATTATTAAATAATAGTTAATTTAATTTATGCACATTATGTACTTCAAGATTCACGGTTAACGAGATTATTCTGTACGCTAAATTCTATATCGCTAGACATAATATTACCGTTGATAAATATTGATTTTCGGCTAGCCCGTGCTTGGCACGGGCCATAATACTAGTTTGTTTTAAACTATCATGTATATGGTTTTTGTTAGAGATAATATATTATCCACGGGGGTGAATATTATTTACTCTTAATTCATAACTTTCTTTAGGCCGACATTTTGGGGATTTTCGTTTTGCAAAAAGTAATCTAAGGCCCCTTGAATTCAAATCTTGACACCCAGATTGAATACTAAGCAGTCATGTAGCCCCTGGTCTATTATAAATCTTTCGTCGGGTCCTTTAAGACATCATTCTCTCTTTAAAAGTACGAGTTCGAGAAAATCTTTCCATAGTCAATATTATCCTTTATTTTTTTGAATATTATATTGTTATCCTAATCTATTCTAATTATTCTTTTTTAAATTGGTAATGAGACTCAACATATTATTGGATAAAGGAAATGTGTTTGATATAATTCAAATCATTTATTTGTTTCAGCTTGTAGAGAAATCTAAAAAATATATGCTAACCAGCAACTTAAAGTTTTTTAACTTTATAAAAAATATCCTCCAAGCTTTTTAAATTATAAAAGCACCCCTACAAATTTAAAATTTTATTAAAACATCTTGAAAATTACAAATTTTACTTATTTCAATTCAATGAGAAATCTGAAAAACATATGCTCACTAAAAACTAAAAGTTTTTGATTTTGGAGAAAGTATATTGTAAGTTTTAAAAAATAAGAAAATACCCTAAAATTTTAGAATTTATAAAAAATACCTTGAAAATTTTAAACCTATAAATACACTAAAAACCTATAAATAATACAAACAACCCTCGAAAATTTATAAAATTTGTAATAAACACTCTAGACTTTTTGCAAATTACAAAATAAAACCCTCAAATTTGTAAAATTTATAAAAACCCTGATAATATCCAACCTAACAATGCATTGAAAATATAGGAGTTACAAATATCCCTACATAATTTATAATTTATAGAGAACACCCTTAAAGTTTTAAAAATTACAAACAAACACTCAAAATTCAAATTTTACAAATAACATCCTGAGAATTTCAAACCCATTAGTTAATTAAAAATATAGGAATTATAAATAGTCTACAAATAATTTATAATATGTAGAAAATGCCTATAAGTTTAAATATAGAAAAACCCCTATTATTCATAAATTACAAAAAAACACCATGAGAATTTCTAACCTATATACACTAAAATGAATAAACAAAATTACTAACAACCCCTAAAAATTTACAAATTTATAAAAAATATCACACTCCCTTGAAAAGTATAGGTTTAGGAAAAACTTTTCATGATTAATATTACCCATAACGTTTTTGAAAAAACATAACTAATTGAAAACCTATTAAATTTAAAATTTATAAAGAACATCCTTAAAGGTTAGTATATTGCAAATTACCCTTCCAAAGTTTGAAAATTTTTAATGATTTTTTGTAGTTCCTTGATTTTAATGTAATTTTTAATAGTTTTGTATATTTGTAAATTTAAAAAATTTAGGGTGTTTTTTTATAATTTTTAAAACTTTTAAGGGTGTTTCTTTTGTAGTTTTCTAAATTTTTATTGTATTTTTAGTGTAATGCATATATACACAATTAATGATGATATTAAAGAGTAAGATGTATTAGGCCATAGTTAAGTGTGCATACTACTATTTCTAGGAAGTATAGTTTATATATGCAAAAATTTTCAAATAATCTATATAGTGATTAAAAAGATTCTGATTTTAATGTATTATTTTTTATAAACTATAGTTAATATGAACCTACCATATAATTTTGATTGTGATCATCATAATTTTAATACGTTTGATTGATTGACTATATAAGTATATAGGCCATAAATTATTTTACTTTCTCGCATGAACTAATATTTAGTGCTTAACAATTTAAATTATTACTTTTAAATTAATATAAAGAGGAGCTCTAATAATATTTATTTATTTACCTACTAGATAATACAATCTCAACTCTTATTTTTTGCTTGAGATATATTTTATAGTTACGTGTATCAAATTAGTAACTAAAGTAATAATTATTTATACTTAAATTAGGATGATTAGTTGGTCATTCACTATGAAATTTTTATGAAGATATATATCTTACTTTCTATAGCTATCTGCACTGTCTATGTATATTTTATAAATTAGTTCTTAATTTGACATATTAAATTACTTTTTCTTTGTAGAAATTTTTTCTTTGACTTTTAGATTGTGTAATCACTATATCACCATTCTAGAGTAGAAAGGATCTTACTCTAAATAGCTTCAAACTAATGTTTGAGTTGAACTATAGTATATGCTATTGCTACTATGTGTATATTTTTTTTAAGAAAATCACGTCAACACTTTTTAAACAGGAGAGAATATTCTAATCTCTGATATTATAAAAACTCAATATAGCCAATTGAGTGAATTAGCAAAATAGGACTTATATCAGAAAGACGTGAATAATAAAATAAAATGGAAAGGTAATAACATTGCCAACAGTATTACCAATAGCAAGCTACAATATAAAGTTAACATATTTTGTGGAGCCCAATTACTGGCTATAAGCATCGAGGTTTTCACATATATTTTTTTATAATTTATTAAAAAAGGGTCATATAATCTTATATAATAAAATTGATTTAATACCGAATAATAATATCGTTGTAAAAAAGACTGGCAAAAAAGAGGACTAGCAAAAAAGAGGTCGACTTTGCAAAAAATCATCTTTTAAATACATATAACTAATAGTCACGTGTAATTAGCGAACATTAATTACAAATGTTAGACCCTAGAGGGGGGGTGATTAGGGTCTTATGCTAATCTAATCCGATTAAATGCCAATTAAAAACTAATTAATACGTTATCCTAGCAAGTATAAAATACAACAAGATATGTGAGCTAGGATAAATAATATGAACAAGGGATATATCCTAGCAATGAGATATACTATGAGTTATACGCAAGGATATATAAACACAAGGGTAAACAATGTAAACAAGATAGTGGATGATATAGATAATGAGCTAATGACAATGACGATATAAGATATGAACATAAATATGAATGAACGCCAAAGCACACTCAAACAACCAATATGATCACGGAGTTCGGACCTTCCGTCCTATGTCTCCGCTCCCCACTCCCGGGGAGAAATCCACTAACACAATCCGGTTTGGAAGCCGGAACTTCTTCTACACACTCGGTTTTCTAGCTAACCGAAAACTCTACAACTCACACTCTTGCAATCACACTCTACACCCACTAAGTGTTGGACCTAGCCGTGTCTCCCTCAAGTGCTCGGTTACAACCTCTCCCTAGGCACGTCAACCGACGCCACTCCTCTTGGGACGATCCCCGACTCTCACCACACACTTCTCACTCGGTGTACAAGTGTATTACAAAGTGATCTCACAATTAAGCACAAATACAGTAAATGATTGTTCTCTCTAACAAGGTGAGAACTCAATTTAGCACAACTCAAAGTTACAATCTCTCACCACCCAACTATACTATGCAATGAAAGATACAATAAGCTCAATGTGGGTGTGTGTGTAACATGTTAAAAATAACAAATGAAGTCCAAAAATTATGAAACTTTGGGAAATGTATATACACATGTAAATGAACATGTTACAAAAGGAATTTTCCAAATTGCATTTCCCATTTGTGAAAAATCATCATTTTACAAAAACAGTCCAAAACACAAAAATATAAACATGTGAATTTTGATATTTTGGCTAAACCAACATTTGAAACTTTACAAAATGATTTTATAGACTTAGTAAAACATGTATGAACTGATATTGAAGTCTATAAACTAATGATACAATATTTTCACAAAATTGCATATTCTATGCAATGTTATCAAAAACACAATGGTAAATATGAAATATGTGATTTCATATTATAAACATGAAAACCCAAAACCATGCATGTATATATATATAACTAGATATGTATATACATAGAAAACAAAACTTATGTATATATATATAACTATATATATATACGAAGAAACCAATAAGTGTGTGTGTATACGATATTGAGCTTAGAGTATCTAACACACATAATATAAATCCTAAACTAAATTACCCAAGCTTGATTGGTCTTCAATAAGCTCTACTTGGTAATCTAGCGGATGAAGCTTGAACTTGATCTTTAACTTTGAATTGCAAGGCTTCAACCACTATTCCGCCAACCTCCATTGGATATTATCATTGAAGCTCTATTCCATCCATCCTCCAACTACGTTGTTTGTCTATAATAAATAAGAAAACACAAATACTAGACAAACAATATTAGTGGTAAATTGTTTGTTAAACATCATCAAAACAAGAAGGCCAACAACAAAAGTAATTAAAGTCAGAAAATACACGGGACTACCACTCTTGCATATTTTGCAGTCAGAACCAAAAAAATACAGGGGACTATTGTATATGTCCTATATACAATACAATTACCTCGGGCAAGTGAGTTATAATAGTATTTTTTATTCACACCGTTTGAGGCAATATTTGATAGAGACCTTGCATCAAGGGAATTTTTTTTATATTTAGAGCACATAGCGAAACATATCATAATCTCCCCGCTCTAATTTTATAAGAAAATAATTCTTCATACTTTCGGTTTTACTTCTATG